AAAAACCCTAGGGCACAAACACAGAGCTTAGGTCTATGCAGGATCAAGATCATCAATATCGCTATCTTCTACCTCCAAATCTTGTCCCACAGGAAGGTTTTCAGGAGCAATAACATGCATGGGGTTGTCATCTCCTCTGAGAACAATGCCTTCTTCTGGAATTCCCTTCTGAAGGGGCCTTTGTGGGGTTGTTTTACAATTAGCTTTTTCATAAGTAGAAGGAATAAACTCTAAAATAACAAGAAAACTATAATAGAGTAAATACATATACCAATAACATTTATTTTTATCAAGTACTACGAACTGGATGGGTACAGTGGTTTACATCTGTAATCCCAGGCTGAGGAAGGAGGATCTAGGCAGTCTAGGCAATTTAGTGAGACCTCAGGAACTCAGTAGAACAGTGTCTCAAAATAAAAAATTAAAAGGGTTAGGAATCTAATTCAGTGATAACCTGTCCCTTGGGTTCAATCCCTAATCCCCAGAAAAAAGTATTATGTCCTGTACATAACTGTATATACTATGTTTTCATATAACTGGCAGCACAGTAGGCTTGGTTTACACTAGCATCACATGTGACAGAAGCTTTGCACTATGACATAAGGACAGTTGTGGGGTATTTTGGTTTTGTTTTTTTATCAGGGATTGATCCCAGGGGCACTTAATCACTAAGCCATATCCACAGTCCTTTTTTGCATTCCATTTACAGACAGAGTCTCCCTAAGCTGCTTAGAGCCTCACTAAGTTGCTGAGACTGGCTTTGAACTTGTGATCTTTCTGCCTCTGTCTGAGCCTCTAGGCTTACAGGTATGCACCACCACACTCAGCTAGATGCAACATTCTGACAGCTACGATGTCAATAGGTGACATCTTATGGGTCCACTGGTATACACATAATCTGTCATTGATGGAAACACTATTATGTGGCACACGACTATATACTCATATGGGATTGCCAGAACCCGGAAGAGTCTGTCTAGGATAGAATTAAGGGTGGCTGGGGAAAGGACGAAGCCAAATCTTAAAGACTTGGTAAGTGCTAGGATACAGGTTACTCTGAAACTAGGCAGCCACCACCTCTCCTGGGGAAAAAAGGTAAGAAAGTAGAGCATCCTTTCTGGCTCATTCTACTTATACCCTAAGTCACAAAGGACAAAGTCAAATAAACTTATTTCCAAAGTCAGCCAGAAGCAAAAGTGTAATTTCAAGTACTGTCCTGTCTCCTAATCACTCTCCACCAGACACACTTGGTATTGTGACACAAGGGTTGGAAAGCTAAAGAGGGCTTAAGCCTCAATCTGCCTCTTACTAGCTGTGAAATCTGGGATACTTTCTTAAATCTCTGAAGCCTTAGTTTCTTCTGTATGAAATAAGAAACTAGCCTGAACACTCATATTATCTTCTCCAGCTCTGCATGTTCTAGCTAAAGCAGAATAAGGCCTGCGAGCTCTGCTTCAGGGAAACTGAGCTGTCCCTCTATGGTCAGAGAGAAAAGGCAAGGGTCTGACCTAAAAAATGGTAACTCAGGGTACCTTTCTCAGAGATCAACAACACTTCTCACTACCAAACCTCACTGCTCAATCTTAACCTGACTCCTGCAAACAGTAACTCTGGATCATTCCCAGCTACTTACAATTTGACTGCTGCTTGGTTTCTCCAAATTTCTTTTCTATTTCCAGCTACTTTTTTCTCTCTCATATCTTAAACACTCACTTCCCCTCACTCTTCTATTCTCAGTTCCTTGCTCCACAGGGCAAAAAACAATAAACAAACAAACAAAAAAAAAACTCTATGACTCACAAAGTCTAGAAAGGAAATTGAAATGAATAAGGAGGTCAACTGAGAATTGTGTCCAGCTGGAAAGCTCATGTCTTACTAGAGGGCAGCTGCCACATAGCTCCAACTGATGGCCATCATGTAGGAACAGCCTTCCACTGCTCTTGCATTGCCCTACTCATGCAAAAGCTGGGATTTTGACATGAAC